ATCTAACAATATGTTTATATCATAAGTATTCCGTAAATAAAAAGCAACAATTCTTTCCTTCAACACACTCTCTTTATTCTCATCAAAAACATAATTGAAAGTATTTTATCCTTTATATCTCAATTATGTACTATAATATATACTTTTTATTTATATTTATCTATTTTATTTTATCACAACGATGATATTACTTTTTTTTAAATAGAAACGAATAATTTTACCAAAAAAGATTTTAGTTTTTGAATAACATAAATTATGTATTCCAAAAACAAATATTTCATTAAACCTTTCTGTTTTTAAATGACCAAATAGCTTTATCTTTATCATATTTATAATTCATTCGTTAATGATTATGATAATTGATAAAGGTTGACATACTAATACTTCAACTAAAAGTACAGACAAATTAATGATAACGAGTTGAGTAAAAATAAAAACATTTCTCTATTTTAACATTTTATCATTGAACAGACGAAAGAAAATTTATAAAAACTAAACACTATAAATTAATTATAAAAACTACTACAAGTTATACTTGAATATTCATTTAAAATAGAGTATTGTAAATAAGGAAAGATGATAAAAGCATTATTTAACATTGATATAATGATGTTTATGAATATTGATGGAAAATAGTATACTTCTTTGATATGTCTAAGAAAAAAAACAAAGAAATAGAAGAGATAATATCATATTAAAAACAGTGATGAGAGAATGGGTTATATTTAATAATATCAAATGAACAATGTATTCAATTGGAAAAAAAAGAATAATATACAGAAATGAAATTAATAATATGTATATATACAATAAACACTCAATAAAAGATAAAAAGAAATATCATAAATATAAAATAAGAAGATAGAAAAGAATAAAAAGAAAGTAGAAGATAAATGAGAAGAATAATGGAGAAATAAAAGAAAAATGAAATAGAAATTAAAACAAGAAATGATAAAAAATACAAAAAGAAGAAATAAAAGATATAATATGATGAAGATAAAATGAATAAAAAATATAACAATATGAAAATAGAACACAAAAAATAGAAAAAATAATAAAAGAAAAAACAGATAATAAGATCTACAAAAATAGATAAATTAAAAATACATTAATAAAGTACTGAAATAATAATTAATAATTCTATTCATAATAAAAATGATGAAATGAATGATAATTTTAATAAATATTATTAAATAATGAAAGAATAAATATAAAATAGTGAAATTAAATATAATGAAATATAAAAAGAAACATACTAAATTAAATTTAATTCATCAATAAATTAATCATTTTATTAATAATATATTTATATATTTAATTGATGAAATCAATATTAATCAAATAAAATAGAAAATAAAATAATAGAGAATGTTATTAAAATACAAATAAATAATGACAATATAAATATTCAATAAGAAAAATACAAAAATTATTCATAAAATTCAACATGATATAATATCAGAAATTTTTAAAACAAAACACAATTATTTAAACAAAAGACAGAATAAGAACAACAACAAAAAATGAAATAATTAGTATTATGTATGAATTAATATAAATAAATTATTATATAATTGATGAATTGAATACAATATCATTGAATCAATTAATAACAATATAAGAAAATAAATAAGAACACAAAATATAATGAATTTATAATTATTAATAGAAGAAATATTAAATAAATAAACTAACTATATATATATTGATTATTTAATTAATATATAAATAAAATAATAAAATATCAAATAAATCATGATAATTTTATTTTATTTAAATAAATTTAATTATAATTATACATAATAATTATAATTAATGAATTTAATATATAGAATAATCAAATTAAAAAATCAAATTAAAAGAAATAATGTAATGAAGTTAAAAATGAAATAAATAATATAAATGAAAGATAAATAATAATAAATAAAATAGAGAATATTAATAATAAAAGAGTAATAAAGAAAGAAATAATAAAGAAAATAAAAAGAAATAGAATAGAAAATAGATAAAATCAATAATATTTAATATCAAAATCAAAGAATGATAAATAAATAAAATAAACAATGAATATTTATCTCAATATATTAAATGAAATTAAAAAATATAATTATTCATTTAAATCAACAATCAAACAAATAATAGAATAAAATATCAATAAAAGAAAGAAAATTAAAGATAAAATAATAACAAAAATACATAAAATCAAATATTTATTAAATAACAATAAACATACAAAAATCAAATGAATATTACACTTAAAAATAATAATATAAATAAAATGAAAACATAAGAAAGAAATAATAAGAATATTTAATTAATATTAAAAAGAATAAATAGAAGATAAAAAAGAAAATAAGAAAAGAAACAGAAATTAATACAAATGAAATATTTGAAAACAAAATCATAAATTATAAAGAATAAATAATAGAATTTGAAACAAAATAAAATATATTATCAAAATAGAAAGAAATATAAGAGAGAATAAAGAAATAATAAAAAAAGAATATAAAAGAAATGATCAAATAAAAGAATAAATCATAATAAATAAAAGAATAATATAACATCAAATTTTTCAAACATATAAAAGAATGAATATAATGACATTGATAATAAATTAAAAATAAAGAAAACATTAAATAATAAAATGAATGAATATATTTAAATATTAATAATACATGAAAATACATTAATAACTAGAACAAGAAAACTAGATATAACATATAACGAAAATACAAAATAATGTAAACATTTTATAAATAATATAATATATAACACATATATTATTAGTATACAGAAAGCGAATAAATAAATTAATAATACAAATATATAAATGAAGAAATAATTAAATTCATAATCATAAAATAACATAAATAAATATAAAATATAAATATACAATAACCACTTCATTATATACAACAACATAATGTTTAAATAGGATTAATTATAACAAATACATATTAACATGAATAATAATAATTTAGAAATATATTTCAATAAAATAAAGAAAAGAATAATAATAATAAAGTAAATAATGAACAAAAAGAAAATATAACAACAAATAAATAAATAGAAATTGTTACAAGAAAAATAAAGAAAATTAAAGATGAAATATGTAGAAATTAATCAAGTTATGATACATATTGTTTGATTTAATCATAAATTATCAATAAAAATAAAAAATAGAAAGTGATAATAAACTCACAACCTAACACAATACTCCTACAATACTGAGATTGGTGATGAAACTAACAATAATTTGGTAACTGCCCAGAGCAATGAAAAGTTGAATACACAAGGAAGCGTTATTAATTAAATTACTTTAATGTACTGTTGTTATTGTCTGTGTTATACAAACTCAATTTATTTTAAGTTATGAATTTTGTTATTTCATTATAGCAAAATACTTAATAGTTAAAAATTTTTGAAAAAATTTTAAATAAATAATTATAAATAAATATATAATTTATTGTTTCATTTTAAAGTTTACCTGATACATATGGAACTACTTCGTCTTCATCATCATCATCTTCTTCATCATCTTCTTCTTCTAATTCATCTTCATCATCATCATCTTCTTCTTCTTCTAATTCATATTCATCATCATCGTCATCTTCTTCTTCGTCTTCATCTTCTTCTAATTCATCTTCATCTTCATCATCATCATCATCTTCGTCTTCATCATCATCATCATCTTCGTCTTCATCATCATCATCTTCTTCGTCTTCATCATCATCATCTTCGTCTTCATCATCATCATCATCTTCGTCTTCATCATCATCATCTTCTTCGTCTTCATCATCATCATCTTCTTCGTCTTCATCTTCTTCTAATTCATATTCATCGTCATCTTCTTCTTCGTCTTCATCATCTTCTTCTTCGTCTTCATCATCTTCTTCTTCGTCTTCATCATCATCGTCATCATCATCATCATCTTCTTCTTCTTCTTCTTCTTCTTCATCATCGTCATCATCATCATCTTCTTCTTCGTCATCATCGTCATCATCATCTTCTTCTTCTTCGTCATCATCGTCATCATCATCTTCTTCTTCTTCGTCATCATCATCTTCTTCTTCTTCTTCTTCATCTTCGTCTTCTTCTTCTTCGTCATCATCATCGTCTTCTTCTTCTTCGTCATCTTCTTCTTCATCTTCTTCTAATTCATATTCATCATTATCTTCCATTTCCAAATTATATTCATTGTCATCAAAGTTCATAGTATCCATATCCATTTCGACTTCATTTTCTGCATGAACTGTTAAGAGCATTGTTAATAAAACAAATAAAAGACCTGACATAAAATGCAAAATATTGTTTGAATAATTTCAAAATCCAGTTTAAATCATGCAAGTATCCACGTGTTTTTTTTTTGTTCCTCATAAAGATGACTTTTAACATATTAATTAATAACTGAACTATTAAAGTATTAATTCTTTTAGAACTTAAAATTACTTGACACGTTTAATTATTAACAAAAAAAAGATAAAAGAAAGTAATATAAAAAAACACTTATAGAGAAAAAAAAGAAAAGAGCAATAAAAT